AGATCAAAGCACACTATTTTCACTTTTTGTTCTTTCTCATGGTTTTTCCCTTTTGTTCTGATTCTTTTTTCACGACATGATTAATGTGGGACTATGTTTAACATGATTGTACATCTCTAAACTATATCAGAGTATTTGCTGTCTTGGAGAGGGGAAAGGAACGGAAGAAGGGAGAAAAATTTGGAACTCAAAATCTTACAAAAATAAATGCTGAAAATTATCTTTACATGTAATTGGAAAAAAATAACATATTAAGTGAAAAAGAGAAAAAGAAGGGGAAAAAGACCTCTAGGGAAGGTAAATCCTCCCTGAGATAGCTCCATCTAAGTTTCCCCCTCTCTGTCAGCAAGTCACTCCCTATATTAGGCCAAAACCTACTTCTGCAACGTCCACCCACCTACCCTTCCCAGTCAAGCAGAACCAGTAGAATACCTCTGCCATGAAGCAGTCTTTCTAGCCCTGGACCTTTCTTCTCTCTTTTCTGGTGCCTGAGTTTTAGGGTTAGGCCTATTTCTCATGCTCCCTTTTCTCTAATGAGGCTCCACTTCCTAGAGACAGCTTTTTGAATCCTGGAATGCTTTGAGGAAGCAGCTGGTGGTATAGTGGGTCCTGGAGTCTGGAAGACCTGAATTCAAATTTGGCCTCAGACGCTTACTAGCTATGTGACCTTGGAAAAGTCACCTAACCTCTGTTTGCTTTGCTTTCCTCAGCTATAAAATGGGGTTAATAATAGCACTCAGCCCCAGGGTTATTATGAGAACCAAATGAGACAATATTTGTAAAAAAGCATTTAGTTGACACATTGTTGTTGTTCAATAGTTCAGGCATGTCTGACTCTTTGTGACCCCGTCAGGAGTTTTCTTGGCAAATATACTATTGTGGTTTGCCTGAGGCCAGACTTGAATTTTGTGTCTTTCTAGGTCTTGTATAAATAAATGTTTATTCTTTTCCTCTTCCCTTTCAGCTGTCCCTATTTTACCTTTCTATATTGAGGTCCTATGGCAAAGTCCTGTAACTGTAATGGGTTTATGTTCCTTCTATTCCACACTGACTATCAGCCCAAGAATAAAGCTCCTTCTGCCCCCTCCCTGTGATGATCTAGCTAACATTAGAGTGAGTCTTGGCACAGATGTGAGCTGACCTAACAGGGTGAGTACTTCAAACATCCCTCCATGCTGTAAAACCAGCCTGGCAGCCAGAATTCCATGAGCCCTACCTTGACCATCAAATAGAACCAGAGAGCAGACACCTCTTCTATTGCTCCATCCACCCACTCTTACTCAAGGACTGCTAAACATACCAACATTCTCTTTGCCACTGTGAAGCTTGGGACAGCCTCTTGACCTGTGGCGCCTCTCAGAATCTCTGTGATTCTGAGTTATTGTCTTGCAAGACTGAATCTACCTTACCTGACGACATGCTCCCTCAAATCCATCCATGTGCCATACCTTTGGCTTTGCTATCCCAATCTTTTCTACTCTTTCATTGTGACCTTCAGGACCCCAGTTCTATTGTTAACAAACCACCCTTCACATTTGACTTTGTGACCTCCTTCTAGAAGTTATTTTGTATATATTTTGTGCATTTTCTAATTTGTTTAACATATCAACATACATGTGCCATCCCCAGCCCCCAATACAATCGAAGTTTCTTGAATAAAGAGATGATTTCCTTTTTGACTCTGCATCCCTAGTGCCCAGCATAGTGCCCGGTACGTAGTAAATGGTATTAAATGCACATTGAAATTGAATGAAGTAAATTGAACAATTGAACTGGCAACACTGCCTAGCTGTAGGGGTGGGCAACCTGTGGTCTTCTAGGTTCTTGGGTGTGGCCTTTCGATTGAGCATAGAACAAATCCTTTTATTAAGGGGATTTATTCTGTGAAGTTTGGATTCAGTCAAAGGGGCACACTTGAGGACCTAGAGGGTCACGTGGTCCAGAGGCTGCAGATTCCTCACCCCTAGATAGTATAAGGTTAGAATATTGCTGTAGTGTAGGAAATGACGAGTTGGTAGACTTTGAAAAAGTTGGAAAGACTTGGACTTATGAAGGAAGAGGTTATCCATCCTCAGAGAAACAGAAGACAAATAAGTATAGTATGATCTTACATGGATGTATATGAATGTATATGTCTATATATAAGTATGACTATAGATATCTAGGTATGTGTATAGGTGTATGGGGGAAGGGCAGAGGAAGGGGGGAAAAAGAACAACATAAAAAGTGCATAGCAGAGAACAAAAGAAAACTTACAAGGGAGCAAAGAAAAGATGTACAGTTCTGAATGTAACGAGTAGTATTTATTATAAAAGATTTCTTGAAATGGAAATTTATTGTTGTATATTTGGAATCCTCTCTTATGTTCTGCTGTGCCCATGGCAATGCTTTTTTTTTCCTTTTCTTATTTTGTATTTGTTTCAATATTTATAATGTTTTTAATGTATTTATATTGTTTCTTTATTGTATTTATTATATTGTTTCTAAAAATACAATAATGTATTTATAATGTTTCTTTTTCTTTTCTTATTGTGTATTTAAGTTTAAAATGAAAAAAAAACTGAAAAAAAATAAGGTCTGATAGACTGTTTTCCCTTATGCCAGGTATATTTTCTCAAGATCCTTAACACTTATTCCAAATCAGGAGCTCCTGTTCTATTTTAGGGGAAAGTCTTCTAACAGTGCTAAGATTTGTTTGACCCAGGATATAATTTGTGAGCTGTTTATAATCCATAGCTGATTAAAATGCAAGAATGTAGAAATTGGCAGATAGATGAGAGGGAAGGGGACAAATTTATTAGGCTAAATATAAACATGTTGATGTAAAAGTTCTCTTAACATTTTTTTTAAAGTCCATTCACTCTGGACCAGTGATCTGCACATAATTTGGCCACATAATGAGAAGACAGAACTCTTTGGAAAAGATCCTGTTGTTGGGAAAGATTGAAGGCAAAAGGAAGGGGGATGGCAGAAGATGAGATGGGTAAATAGTGTCATGGTCACAATGAACGTGAACTTGGACAGACTTTGAGAGATAATGGATGATAGAAGGATGTAGTATGCTATGGTCTATGGCAGACTTGCACAACATACAGGTGGTCCGACAAATCATTTTGGGCAGCCGGCAAAAAATGTAGGGTTGCTGCAATATCATGTGACCCATGGCAACCAACTGATATCTTAACCAACTGTTAGACTTTAGTCTAACCTATCTGCAGCCCGAAGAAGTTTACAAGTTGTGCAGGTCTGGTCTATGGGGTCATGAAGAGTTGAGCACTCAGTGACTCAACGATGAAACTACAACAAGCAATCCGCCAAGTGGGTTCTGTGCCCCTCAGGCAACACTCTGGCATGACTGCATAGAAGCCACAGCCTGACCCTAAAGATTATATAATCCACCAATCAGAGGGTGAATCTCACCATCAGTGGGTTCATTACCAATATAACTATAATGATCCTTATCTCTAACATTCCCTTACCCTGTGTGCAAATTCCCAACCTTCCTCCTTCAGAACTGAGTTTGCCCTTCCACCCAGACTGTTATGACTGATACCAGGGCACAGATGCCTCTGGGAAAATCCACCTCCCTCCACCTTATTCCCCATCACCTTCCCAGAGCATCTATTGGTTCAGAGAATCTCTGCGCTTTAGGGAAGTAATGATGGATTCACTGGGTGAGTTCGTGGGTGAGTAAAAAGCCTATCTCCTCTTTTTCTCATTTAGAATAGGACAGAATTAGTTGACATGGGTGAATTGGATAACACAGATCTCACTCTGGTATCTTTATCCCTAAACCCCACATTGTTCAAGACTTCCCTCTTACTGTCAAGAGCACCACCATTTTCCAAGATCGCAACTTTGGTGTCATCTTCAGCCCCTCACTCTCCCGTCCCACAATTTAATCAGTTTCCAAATGTGATTGTCTCTAACTCTACAACGTCCCTATCCTGGTCTATTTCAATAGCCTTTTATTCGTCCTCTTGTTTCAATTTCCACCCCCACTCCCCCAATCCAATCCAACCTCCATTCAATTGCCAAATTGATTTTCCTAAAGCTCAGGTCTGACCATAACACCTTCCTCAATAATCTCTAGTGGTTCCCTATTTAATCTAAAATAACATTATTTCACCTTCATCTCATCTTTTAAAAATGTCACACCCCTTATCAATAAATTCCAATGGCTTCCTATTACCTTGAGGATTAAATATAAAATCCTCTGACTTTTAAAGTCTTTCACTTTAGGGACAATCCTTCCTATCAATACTGGCCCTCTTGATGCTCCTTGGACATGACACTCATTCTTTAGACCCTGTGCATTTCCACTGGCTGTCCCCTATACCTTGAATGTTCTTCCTCCTTCCACTTCCTGGATTCTTTGGCTTCCTTCAAATCTCAGCTCGAATCCTACTTTGTGCAAGAGGCTATTTACACTGTATATATCTTGTCTCTGCTTAGTTTTTTTTATATGTTTTCTCTCTCCCATTAGAATGTGATCTCTTTGAAAGCAGGGACAGTTTTTTTGTTTTGTTTTGTTTTGTTTTTTGCTTTTCTTTGTATGTCATTACTTCCCACACTCCCTGGCATACAGTAAGCTCTTTATTAATGCTTGTCCTTGATTGACTGATTTCTGTTTTTATGTAAGTTTTATAATACACACTATTAATACAATAAAACATGTACATAGCATAAATAAATGTATATCTATTGGGGTCCATGTTCAATTTTTTTTCACTAATGGGGCACATGATAAAAACAGTCTGGAAACCTCTGCTTTAGGCAATTGTGTATTATCTTATCATGTGAAAAATGTTCTGATCTGCGTGCGTAGGTGAAAAATGTTTCCTGGCTGTGTAACATGCCTATTCTTTCTTGACTGGTTAAACCGGTTAGTGTCAAGTTTCTACTTTATTTTTATATTGAATCTATTTTTTTCCTTAAAAAAAAAAAGACACAGCATTGCAACTCTCCAGGGTTGTGACATTGAAAGGCTGGCTTCTTACTTATTGCTCTCCAAATCTGGCAGAAGATCAGGGTGAAGCAGACAAAAGCCCAGTTCCACTCATGGTCTTTTCCCACTGTCGACACTCCCATGAAGATGAAGATCAGGGTCTCACTGACACTGCTCAGCATCTTCATGAAGTATTTGATGGTGGTGTAGGAGGTCTGTGACACATTTTCTTCCACATACTTTTTCATTGTCACGGCACAAGCTGTGATCCTATAGGTGCAACAAGAGTGTCAGTCAAAGCTACCAATTCTTCAATGAAAACTTCAAAAATCATCTTGCTGACAGGATAGCTATACACTTATCCTATCTTTTAACCCAAATGACCTTCCTTCTTTGTTGCTATACTGTAGATTTTTAAAAAATTCTTTTTCTGACACTGACCATCTCTTTAAGGTAAGAACTCTTAACCTGGGATCCAGTTTTATATAACCAATTATGTAAAGGTTTTAGCCAGATATATAAAGGTACAGATATAGATAAATATATAAAGGTATATATAGATAGATAGATAGATAAATCTTTATATATAAATATATGTAAGTATTTTATATAAAGGCAAGGTTTTTATGTTAAGCCTTATAGTATAATATATATATACATATACGCACACATAGATAAATAGTTATATATGTTACATGTATGTATATATCTGTGTACATATTTATAAAACTATTTTGATTTAATTGGTTTCCATTGTAATCTTATGCATTTTAATTTGTTCATTTAAAAATGTACTAAGAAGGGGTCCATAATCCTCACAAAACTGCTAAGGAGGTCCATGACACACCCAAATAGGGTTAAGTGTCTAAAGTTAAGAGTTGGTAGCAACTTATATTTTCAAAATAGAGCAGCTAATGCAATGCCAAACAGCCAGTGTTTGCTTCTGATGATTATGATATAATAACTTGGGAAGAGTGGGCATGGTATAACCTTTACACGATAAAATGTCAATAGTCTATTTGTAAATAGTGGAAAGGATAGCTTGCATCTTCCACTTTAAGTCACCAGTTAAGCTTTCACCTTAAATTTCCACATTCCAATTCTTTCCTCTCCATTTCAAAGATTACTTTCTTTTTTTCACATTTATAAATATATTTATAATTATGTATACATTATATGTTATGTATTATATATACACACCCGTGTGCACATGCACGTGCGCGCACACACACATTAGACTGTGAGCTCCTTGAGAATAGGAACTTTTTTTTATTAAACAATTTATTCATTAATTTTTAGTTTTCAACATTAACTTCCATAATATTTTGAGTTTCAAATTTTCTCCCCCTTCTCCTTCCACTTCCCCAGGATGGCGTGCAGTCTGATATAAGGTAAAAGAGCACTTTCAATGGCACTAATTCAGTATCAACAGCCTGGGAGGCATAGCTCAGTCAGGCGTGGTACCAGTCTTGTTCTTACTAACTGTATAACATTTCTAATAGTTTTTATGTAGATAGTTCAATTAAAATCTGTGAGTTCCAGATAGTTCAATTAAAATGTGTGAGTTCCTGGGCACTGGTACAGAGAGGACTCAAGAGGTCAGATCAGACTAACAATCATAAACAAAATCACTCTTAGGAACAAAAGTCTGAGAGCTACATTGAAGAAGGCAAATTCAAAATTTTTCATTTCAGAGAACATCCAGACTTCTCACTTTCTCCAGTCACCTGTTTTCTCTCCACACTGAAGTAGATAAACAATAATCCTTGCTCTGCCATAGGAGAATGAGAATGTAGTGGTTGGTGGTAGTAGCAGTCAAGAATGAATGGCTCCACTTGTATGTATGTATGTATGTATGTATGTATGTATGTATGTATGTATACACACACATACAACATTATATATAAAATCATATATAATTTTATATAACTAATGTATGTAATTACATATATAATTTTGATTTCTTTTGAATTTTACAATTGAATTACTTTGGAGGCTTCAGACCTCTTTTAATTAATTGAAAGGTACTATTAATTCAGTAATTTCTCATTACTGGAAGTTAGTAATAGGAAATTAACACTGAAATATTCTTCCTGCTTTCTCCTTTAGCATCGCTGAAGATTCTAAACTGATATTATAAAACCACAACTTTTCCCTAGGCAAATAATGGAGGGAATGCAAATGCAAATGTTGGGGAAGCATTTGTGCCATGCAAAAGGACTGAATTAGACGTTGTAAGCATTCAAAACTATAAATCCTTAACACCTTTGAGGCTTAATTTCAAAAGTAATGCCTTTTTCTGATGCATGCCCCAGATAGAAATTAAGCTATTTGTGGGCAGGGACTGTCTTTGTGTTTCCAGAGCCTGGCACATATTAGGTGCGTGTGGAGTGGTTGATTGATCATAAATGGTCCCCATAAGGCTGTTCTGATTTTCTTTTCATTACTGTGAGGGATGATTTTTAATTTGTACTCACGCAAGGATGCCAGAGAGGTAGAGTGTTTCAGCAGCTAAGTAAGACAAGTAGCTGAACATGAAGACGATCAGTGGTTCGATTGCAGAAATGTTCTGTGTGAAACGTGTGATAAAGGCAGAAATGAAGCCGAAGATGATGCCAAAAAACACCCCCCCAACCCCTACCACAATAAACCGGGCAAATCCAGCCAAAATGTCGACAGGTTCTATGTCTTCAAATTTATGCATCTTCGTGAAGGCGATTAATATATTGTATAACACCTGGACAAAGAAACAATGAATGCTAATTAGAAATATTTTAGATTCTCAAATTTCTAATTTCAGTTTGAGCTACAATAATAATTAATAATAACAATTAATAATAATAATAAAAGCTAACATTTGTATAGCACTTACTATGTTCCAGGTGCTAAGCGCTTTACAATTATTATCTCATTTGATCCTCACAACAACCATGGGAGGTAGGTGCTAGTATCATCCCCATTTTACAGATGAGAAGACTGAGGCAAATCAAGGTTAAATGACTTGCCCAGGATAACACAGCTATTAGTGTCTGAGACTGGATCTGAATTCAGGTCTTCCTGTCTCCAGGCCTGGTACTCTATCCACTGCACCTCCTTTGTTGTTATTGAGTCATTTCAGTCTTGTCTGACTCTTCATGATCCTATTTGGGGTTTTCTTGGCAAAAATATTGAAGTGGTTTGCATTTTCTTCTCCAACTCATTTTACAGAAGAGGAAACTGAAGCAAACAGGGTTAAGTGACTTGCCCAGGGTCATACAGTTACTAACTGTCTGAGGCCAGATTTGAGTTCAGATCCTTCTGACTCCAGGCCAGGCACTGTGCCACCTAGCTGCCCTCTAGTTCAATACTTAGTTTTTAAAAATCTGTTACATAACTTACTTTGTATATGTGGAAATATCAAGGAACCACAGTACAAAAAAAAGAGCAGAATTAGAGGATCTAATTATACTATTAATACAATTAATGGTATACTATGTCAATAGTATACTATACAATTAACACAACCTTAGGCAAGTGATATAACCACTCTGGGCTTCAGTTTCCTTATCTGTAAAGTGAGGAGGCTGGACTCAACGGCCTCTAAGCGTCCTTCAACTTCTAAATCTAAGATTTATTATAGTGTTGGAATCTATCATATGATAGACTGAATACTAGACTTTGAGACAGGAAGGTTTGGGTCCAAGTCCCACATTTGACACTGACTAGCAGTGTGACCCTGAACAAAAACTTAATTTCTGTGCATATCAGATAAATTTCCCTGGGAATTACCTATTTAGTACAGATTGGTATCTAAATAGGTAGAGAGTGGTCCCATACCAGGAGTTTTCCACAATGAGGGAAGTGATCTTTCAAGTTTTCCCATTTGTGTCAGCCAACCTAGCTTTCCTAGGTAGAATTCCTGCAAGGAGACATGAAACACGCATGATGTTGTCCCCCATGCCTCACAACTCCATCTATTGGAATCCTAGCTTCCCATAAGGATCAACTCAAGAACCACCTTCTATAGGAGATTTTCCTGATTCATCCCAGTGGCAGCATCCTCTTCCCCAACCCCTGAGCAAATTATTTTGTATTTACTTTGCATATATTTTGTATTTATTTACCTTATTTGTACTCCCTAGTTTATTTTATCCATGCCAAACTCTGTCTTTGACTTCACCCTCAGTATTCATGGGGCAATTACATATTGCCTTTCCACATTAAGTGGTCTTTCAGCTGTAATCTCCAACCTGCTTCTACTCTGGCCTTTGGTCCCAGAAATGACTGATGCTTGTGTAAACTGACTCCCAAATTGTGTGTGGGGGGGGGAGGGAGACTTCATCAATTTGCAAGCCTTTCAGCAAATCTGGATTCAGTTAGTAGTAGATTAAGTTGGTAGTAGTCTCTTTTATTTAAATAAACTGAGGCCACATTTCTAGCAAACCTTGGCTGAGTTTGGAGAGGGAAAACAGTGATTTATGGTTACAAAAGAAATCCAAGAGAAATCCAGTGGTTATACTGTTCCACCCCCTGCATGACTCTACTCTTAGAGCAACATAGATGAGGCCCTTGGAAATCACTGGGTGTTGCATATTCAAAGTTTAACTCAGATCAAGGAAGTGAGGAGCAAGATGAGAAGCTAGCATCTCCATCCCGCAGCAACCAGAAACATTAGCTTTGCATGAGTTTAACTGGGGTTTGTGGTGGTGGTGGGGGATGGGATGCCTGAAGGCAAACTCAAAGAAAACTCCAAGAATATGTTCTAACTCGAAGATTTGCAGGCAGCTGCCACAAACTGAAATTGCCTTACATTTGTTTGACGCACTGTTAGAGACACTGAGTTGGAAAGGATCGTGAAAGGTCACCAAACTCATACTTATGCTATCTGGTTCATGCCTTCTGGAAGGAAGATGTCACTAACCAGTTTGAGAAATTCAAATCCAAGGGTGCAGGTAGGTGGCATAGTGGATAGAGCACTGGCCCTGGAGTCAGGAGGACTTGAGTTCAAATCCGGCCTCAGACACATAACACTCACTAGCTGTGTGACTGTGGGCAAGTCACTTAACCCCTATTGCCTCACTAAAAAAAAAAAAAGAGAGAGAGAGAGAGAGAAATTGAAGTCCTTAACTAAGGAGGTTACCTTTTCAGAGGCAGCATGGAATAATGATGGTGGTGGTCAAGATTGGGGTTCAAGTCTTGGCCTTATACATAATATCTGTGTTACCTTGATTAAGTTACCTTAACCTTTCAATGCTCCCCAGGCAGCCCTCTCATACTGGAAGTTAGGAGGAAGCCCCAAGAGTTCCCCACATTGATGAAATCACAAGTCTTCACCCCACCATACCCATCTCAGATCCCTAAAAAAAGGTACAAAAAAAGAAACCTTAGAAGTATTCCAAATGTCTGTGTAACTATGGAGTGACATTCTAGTAGATGTTTAACTGGTTCTTGGAGGGGAAAAATATATACAACACACTTTTAATCTTAATTTGCATTATGAATTTTTTCTCCATTATTTTCTTAAGTGTAGGCAACCAATAAAACAATTAATCAAGCCCCAAATTGTGTTGTTATTCTTATTCTATTGTTTCAGTCATGCCAACTCTTCATGACTCCATTTGGGGTTTCCTTGGCAGAGATACTGGAGCAATTTGCCATTTCCTTCTCCAGCTCATGTTACAGATGAGGAAGCAGAGGCAACCAAGGTGAGGTGACTTGCCCAGGGTCACACAGCTAGTAAGCACCTAAGGCTAAATTTGAACTCAGGAAAATGAGTCTTCCTGATTCCAGGCCCAGCACTCTATCCATTGCACCACTCAGTTTCTAGCATTTGCCAATTTCTTAGATGTTCACATTGAAAATTTACCAAATCCAATCTCAGAACCAGTAAAAGTTGGCTTGGCGTGGCTTCGGCATACCCATTTAACCATGCTCCAAACAAGGTTGAAGTGTTTTGCAGGTTCCTGTTCATGTTGAAGCCTTTCCCTGCTTTCTGATGTCAGAAAGATGCAGGATTGAGGCATTTTGAATTGGTTTTTGAATAGCATGGGCTCACCAATGGCATATTCATAGCTGTGGCTCTAGGCCACGAGTGGTATGAGTGTGGTATGGCAGGCAGAATCTTTGCTACCTACATACATACATACAGTTCAAGCCCAGAGAGTACCATCAGGAACCATCTTCATTTGACTTATAAAAGCATCAGATAGTATAATGAAATCAGAAAATTGTTCTGCAGCAATAGATACTATCACTTTAAACTGTAACTGGGACAGTTCTGAGAGAAGATAGCTGCTAAAAATGGTTTACTAAAAATGATTGAATTTATATTTAAGAATCTGAGAAAGGACAGGGGATACTTTAATTACTCCAAATAAAGAAAAAACATAAGGATTTTCTAATTGATTTGATAGCTGGAAGTGGAGAGACGCTAGATTTTCTTTCCTTGAGGCTTTCTTCAACAGAGATTGGCAACATGAGTTGACCAAAAGCTAAAGAATATAGCAAAGAAAGCTTCAGAGACAAGATTTCGACAGACTTAAGAAATGGACAAGGAGAAAGATCCTTAAAGAAGCCCAGGGCATTATTTCAATCAATAAATATTTATTAAGTACCTACTATGTGCCAGACACATAGCATCCCTAAGTGCTAGGGATACAAAAAGAAGTAAAAGATAGTCCTGGCCCTCAAGAACCTTACAATCTAATAAGGGAGACAACATTCAAACAAAGATAAACAAAGGAAGCTATATACCACATAAATGTTGTTGGATTGTTTTTTGGTCATGTTCGATTTTTTTGTGACCCTATTTGGGGTTTTCTTGGCAAAAATACTGGACTGGTCTGCCATTTCCTTCTCTAGCTCATTTTACAGATGAGGAACTGAGGCAAACCAGGTTAAGTGACTTGCCCAGGGTCACATAGCTAGTAAGTGTCTGAGGCTAAATTTGAACTCTGGAGGATGAATCCTCCTGACTCTGGACCTGGTACTCTCTCCACTGTGTGACTTATCTGCCACAGGATATATAGGAAATAATTAATAGAGGGAAGGTACTGGAATTAAGACGGGTGAGGAATGACTTCCTGCAGAAAGAGGGCTCTTATTCAAGCTAGAAGAGGCCTTGGAGAATACATAATCCAATCACTTCATTTTACAGAAGAAGAAACAGGCCAAGAAAGACGAAGTGATTCAATGATCTTTTTTTTTTTAACCAAAAGTTACACAATTAGTAAATAGCAAATCTGAGGTGAGAATCCAGGTCTCCTGACTTCCTATATCAGCTAAAAAATAAGTAACCAATGACTTTGAAGTTTCAAGCCAGAAAGCTTGATATTTATGATCAAATTAGGAAATGAATATAAAGAGACATGAAACTGCTGAAAGTTTCAGAAAGTTTGCTTAGAGTCAGGTAATAATAATCATTAATAATAATAATAACATAGTATTTAAATGTTTGCGGATTGCTTGCCTCATAACAACACTGTAAGATATAGGTAAGAAAGAGACAAATATAAATATTCAAAAGTTTATTTGTTTTTAAAAGTGATTTAGCCCAACCATTCAGGAAAACAATTTGGAACCATTCTAAGAAAGTATGTATGTACTTAAACACCTATACCTTTGACTCAGAGATTCTACAGCTAGAGATCTCAACTGCAAGAAAGCCAAAAGATTAAAAGAAGGACCTATATGCCAAAATCTTTATGTCAGTACTTTTTATAGTGGCAATGCCCATGAATTGGGGAATGGCTAAGTAAG